CAAACATTTCCTTAACTCACAAGGCCAAACATTTTAATAAGTAAAAATATTTCAATCACATTGCAAAAGAGTTTTCAGAGGCTGTATCTTATCTGAATGTATTACTTGAGAGAATAGGAAACTGTACTTTGGAAAAAGAACCCAGACCTGAATCTGCAAAGTTCATTTAACAAAAAGTCATTCAAGCCTCCAAAACAGCTGAAATAAGAAGAGCTTCAAAAATAACAAGCAAACGATTCATATCCAGGAGAATGAGAGCTTGGTGGTTTGGGGTTTTTTTCCCTTTTTTTTGATAAAGGTACATGTGGGAATTGCAGCCAGCACTTTACACTTCTGTTTCAACTCTGCTACAGACCTTTCTGTGATATCGGGCAATCTCTTAGGAGTGCAGTTCGTCAGTACATATTTCTTTGGTCAACTACAAAAATGTTTGCAGAACTAGTTACTTCTGGCAATATGGTGCAACTGAAAAATAGAGTTTGTTTTATTTTGTCTGAAGCAAAGGTAGAGGTGGGTTTGAGATGCAAAGAAAAAATTGAAAGCTTTTCATTTTCTAAAGATAAAGTTGCTTTTTTTTGTTTTCTTTTACTCTTCAGTTGCAGAAAAAACCTGATAATCCGACAGACATTTCAAACAAACCTAAACCAAAGAAAAATCTTTGAGTCATTGATGCTGAGCTTTAGAAGGGACTGTGTTAAAAAAAAAAGACTTCACCCACTCACCCTTGAGTTAGGCCAGTGTGTCAGGAACCATAGAAAGTGCAATCTTCATTTTAGGGAATTTGTAATTTAAAACCAGAGACTATAAATTGCAACTTTATTATCTTATCTGGGTTTTGCTGTTTCTCTCAATCTGAAAAGCCCCAGCTGAAGACCAAAATCTCAGTTTCTCTTGCCACTGTGTAAACACAGCAAAGCTGTGATGGGCATAATACAACCCATTTCAACTTCACTGTTTGTTGAAAACACATCCATTTCTCAAAGTCTGTCCATAACATGCTTATCCCGTGTAGCACAGATATCGATGGGCCAAGATATCTCTGAAATGCACAGAGTACAACCCATTCCCCTTTGCAGCCCAAAGTCCCCTGTGCACTCAGTGCAGTCAAGGCAGCACTGAGGTGGCGTGAGGTCACTTCAGTTGCCACAAACAGCAGGAATTCTTGCTGGCACCCATTGCTGCCATTTAATGCCAACTAGACAGTGTGGAGACATGGTAGACATGGGTAACAGAGCACCTGAATCACAGATATGAGCAGTAGTGTTCACGTGTTTGCTCTATAGCCAGGCAGATCCAGTGCATATCAAACACTACACCCAGCTGGTACTGTGTGTTTCTCAGGCATCCAGATGACAGGCAGGGAGAATTTTAGGGAAGAATTTGAAGAAAGAGTATAAAGTATTTTTCTTTTCCCTAAATATATCATAGGAATGTAGAAAATCACTCAACGTGGTATTGTTGCAAATCTTCCCATGGCTTTACTGAACCTCTGTCAATAACAGAGGTGGCCACAGATCCTGAATTGCAGGAGTCGAAATCAGTCACTTGACTCTCTTTAAAATGGGCAGCATGCACACATGTTTCATAGAATCATAGAACAGAATCATAGAATCATTAAGGTTGGAAAAGACCTCTAAGATTATCAGGTCTAACCTTCTCCCAGGTTGTTAGGAAACAGGTCAGTAACAAGACTAATCTTTGATTTATCATTTCCTCAGTGACTTTCCTCTGACCACAACTGAAGTCTGACGAGCAACTTAGGGAAAAATGAACCCCACCCTGGAGAGTGGCAGCACAAGATTCAATTCTACTCCAAGTCTGAAGTCCACAGAGTAGTTTTAAAATGTGGGGGTTTTTACTCCACAGTGTTATCTGTTTCATCTGGACAATCTAATCGACTTCTGGGGGAGCGATGACCACCATCCTCAACCTAGAGCTGAAACCACACACCATTTTTGAATGCCATCTGCACACACCATATTTTGTCCTGAGGGGAATAGCATCCTGAATGTTAATATATAAGCTAACATGGCTAGCCTCTACAAACAGGAATACCAATTTATTAGGATTGCAGGCAGCAAGAGTGGAAGACATTCATATCTGGTTTATGTGTGAGTTCATTGCATATTGCATTTTACATAAACTAGATTAAACTGGGTTTACTGGGTGCTGGAAGTTACTATGGGGTAGCTGCTATTTTGGCCAACACATAAGCTGTTGGCTCACAATATTGACAGTAACTTTTTGGGGGAGGTTGTCTGAAGGCATTTCAAATGTATTATGACTCCATGAAAGAACAGTAGAAAAAATTAAAAAATACAAAGGCTAAAACACCTTTAGATGATTCAGAAATTCTTTTCCAAGGGAGAGTTTTTCATTTCTTTCTTCAAAGGTTTTTTAATGCATTTCTCCCTGTCTGGACTCTGCTGATTTTTAGTTGTCCCACTTACTTGTCCATCACTGATCTTAGAAATCTGTCTAAGACTTGTAAGGCTTCTTATCCATCCACATGCCTTTAGAAATTTCAGTCCTTTGCTTTTCTGAGAAACCATGTTTACTGGCTTGTTATTTCTCATTTCTAACTCTCTTCACTGAGGTGTCTGGCTCTATCATGTAATACACTACTTTTGTATTATGCAAAGTAAACACAATAATCACTAAATAAGGCAGAAAGTAATCCAAAGCATATTAGTGATTAAATACAGGCATACTTTCTGTGACCCAAGAGGTAGGTAATATTTGATGGTATAATAAAATGTAAATGTTTTAAAATCACAGACTTTACTCTTTCCTAGTCTTAATTTTTCTTATTAAATAAATTTTGCATTCCAAAAGCTCCATCCTAAAATCACATTTAAGGAGGAGTATACTTTTTGTAGGATGACTTAGTATGTCTTCTAGCAAACTTCACAAGTGTAAATGATATTCCCAGAAGACATTCTTCCTGCCACTGAAATTTACCCTTGCTTCTATTGAACTGACTTCCTCCCTCCAAAGGAAAAAAATTATCTGTTTCTTTCTTTATGAGAAAACAGTTTGAATTACTTTCTGTATAACAATCAATGCTTTGTTTTACAAGTTAAATTTATGAATCAATGATAAACCATTAATATAGTAATTAGTATTTTGGTCTGATAACTGCATGGTTCTACTCACAGAGTTTTTTGGATAGCCTGTAACAAAAAGAGGTTAATGGCAGGTGGCCCTGCTTTAGACTTTTCTCAGATACTTCATGGTTTGATTCCAGGAGACATATTCTTCCTTATATCTTTATATTTTCCTTGAAAATAATAGTTCAGGTTCTTAGCTTTTGTCATTTGATGAGCCCAAGTATTTTTTCATTGTTTCTGTGCAGGCATAAAATGACAGTTCCTTTAACGAGGAAAATTATGAATTGGATTTTGTTTTGGTTTGTTTTGACAACAAAACATAATGTATCCTGTTGTTTCAATTTTAATCTTCCTTTTGCCCATGGGTGATTAAGCTCTTCTCAGAAGTAAGTTTGTTAAATACATATTTAGCTAATTTAGAAATGAATGGTGGAAATTAATCATATTAACATATCATATATTATTTACCAGAGACTCAATTATCCTATAAGTATGTATTTACTAAACAAAAATTGTTTCCTCAATAACAATAATTCTCTGGACAAACTGTAGATAGGATTCATTTTCTCATCTGAGGATCTCAATTTGTCTTTTGTATGAGAAAGCATATGAAGTCCATTGAAGTAATTTGAAACATACTTATTACTAAGCATACATGGCTCATTTCTCGTTTGACTCAGCTGTTAAAAGATCTAATCTTTTTTCTTTAAAAATCAAAAAAATATGTTTCTAATGTGATAAGATCATGGCCAAATCTTGCTCCTATCTTCTCTGAAAGGAAGGGAGAGATCAAGTGAGGCTCCTTCTGTGCCAAGTGTTTATTTGACCATGCCAAGTTCTCTTAACACAGCAAGGTGGCAGTTCATCTGAGTCTTCTCTATGTTTACTTATTGACATTCAGCTAATTCAGTTACTTACAGTAAAAGTTAGCTAGTCAAAATTTTTTAAAAGATACTGTGACTAAACTGACTTGAGGACAATATTCATGTATATACATAATATAGGTATATAATATTCATGTATCCTGTGATATTTTTGTTGCTTTCATTCAATCCTGCAATTTTACTTTTTGCTCCCACAGATTTTGTCACTGATGAGATACTTCTAAAACTTAACAGTGTTATATTTTGTTATTTTAATGGTACAAATCAACAATCACATCAGTGATTTTATGTGTATATATATGTGTGTATATATTTTGTGTGTATATATACACAAAAAGCAACATAACATTTTTTAACAAATTGTCATTTTTGTCCTACTGCTGGATGAACACTTTATCTACATTTGGGCCTAACAGCAACAGCAGCAATATAACAAATAAATAAAAGTAACTTCTTTCCAAATAAGTTTCATTATTCCTTTTCATGATCTAAATGTTCCAGACACCATAATTATTTTTTCTGGACTCTGAATGAGTCATCAAATACTATTTTTTTCTATATTCTAATGAGATGTGAGAACTACATTAAATGAGATTACAAAAACGCCTATGACCCTGAGCTATCTAAATTATAATTCTGAATTCTTTTCTCTAGATCTTTGCATGAAAATCTTAGCAGTAACAAAGAAATAGGTTTCTTTGGGTATTGCAGAAGGCATTTATAAATCACCTGGAATGTCTCATGGAAAAAGTGTTCAAAAACTATGACACACAGACCTGCCAGAAATCCCAGTCTTAGTTTGAGATTAGAACCATAAGCGATAGAAAGCTCAATAGATTGCAGGAGAAATATCCAATTTTAGATGGGAAACACCTGATTTTAATCTTTATCAGAATTACTTACTTATCTAGGCCAAAATTTCACAGGTAAACTGCAAGATACCATTATAATCTTTGAAAATAGGGTTCTATTTTCCTCACACAAGTTGTACACTGATGCCAGATACCTGACTCTCCAATTACTCCAGGTGACACCATTCTTCAAGCTTCTCTTAAAGTATTTTCAGTGTTACATGTCCAGATACACAGAGACAGCTGTAAGGCCAGAGGAAATTTTAAAAGCTTTAAATATATAATTTCAATGAAAAAGAAAGATGTGCTTATGAATTTGAGGTTCAGATTCCTTCTGCACAGGGATGTGAGCAGGCAGCTGCCTGATCGAATGTGAATAACCTCTGACTGGCATCTGAGCTTTATAAAGGGGTTTTTCATTTCAGCCCAAATTTGTATCTATCCAGTTTTGAGTACAGGCAGATTAAGTTCATATGCATCTGCAAAGGAATTAAGAAGAAAAATTGAGAGAATATGGCTGCAAAGAAGGTAAGAAGAAGATGATGGCTATGACTTGGACTGCGTCCGTAACCTCATTAAAAAAAAAAAAAAAAGGTTTTTTTGCAAATGATACCTGAAATTTTCATTCAAAGTTATTGCAAAAATTAGCATTTTAAAAACAAAGCTCAAACCCCAACAAAAACAATTTAGCTTTTCCTTACAGTAGTGAGTTTATTGGTTGGTTTATATATTCAGTTGTTAATTATATCTGTCTCCCAGGAAGAGGCCCATTGAGACAGATATCTGCTTCAGGACATCCTGGGGCTAACAATACACAAGGTACACATCTTTCTGTCGGAGAAAAATCAGTATATTTTCTTAAGAAAATGAAAATTCACATTTCCTAGAGCATTATGAACCTCCAAGGGCTAAAGAAATCCTGGTAGAGGAATAGCCAAAGCTAAATTACACGTCAAATATTATGATCACTCTTCGTGCAGTAACTTTAATGCCAAAACAATATTAGTTCTGGTTTATATGTATTGTTAGACATTTCAACACCGCCTGAAACAGACAGAGGCAACAAATCACAGAGATGTAATGAGTAAAAGGCATTCCCCTGGCTTTAATGAATCCCACCACAGCCTTTAGAAAAGTTCACGATATTGAGTTATTTTGTCACTATTAGTTACACAGCTAATGAAAACTTGTACACTGCTGAAGTTTGAGTTACAAAGAAGACAGATCCTGCAAGACTTGGATGTCTTCTGCATATCTATTTCTTTGTGGTCTTCATTAATGCAGGTTTTTAGACTCCATCAGAATTCTTAATTAAGAAGCAAATCCTAAGCCATCCCTCGGGCCTTCCATGTTCTCAGTGTTCTCAACCCTTTCCTAGCCATGCCCCAATATCAGGGGTGCAGAAGATAGCTACTGTTGGAGAAGGTTCTACCACCTTTATCAGAGTAAATTTCAGTTTTATGTTATTCTCCATTGACTATTTTTAGGCAAAGCAAATTTTTTTTCATGGACTGAAGAAAGTAATCATATAGGTAAAGGATTCTTAGTGTTATATATCCGCATTTTACCTATTTCAGTTACGTTCCCTGGATAGAAATGAGATAATGTTTTCCTACTCAGTGTCTTAAAATATTAATTATGCTGCCACAAAATTTTCTATTATAAAACAATTGAGCCATGTGAATTGAAATGTATTCTGGCTTCCTCATTTTATGGGTTATATGATAATGCACAATAGAGGCCATGACCATATCTTCAGTTCATTTAAATATATTTGGTCTTGTTGACTGCATTACATATGGGTGCTATGCCTGTGTTCTTCAACTGATCCTCCAATGGGATGACTTTTTAATGTAATGAGACCCTTTTTTTATCTAAGACTCAGAGCAACAAATATGACAGAAAAAGTTAAAACTGATCAATAATTTATGTTTATTTTCTTTAAACAATATCCAGAAAAAAGTCAATCACAATTACATTTTCTGTCATCTACCTAATTTCCTGTAATTAATTTTCCTGAGAGGATTCCTGAAGAATCAGATATTTAGATACTGCTGATATTTTTAATTTTCTATCACAGAAAATCCATAGGTTTTCTTTACCCTCTTTAAAACAAATTTTGTGCAAATAAATTCGGTATAAACACTATTATCTAGCAAAATGTAAGTTTTTTAGCTTATCATAAATTCCCCTTTATGCTGTATTTTTGCTAAAATATAAAACAAAAATACAATTTCCCACTAACTGATAGAATCTTATCTGTGTGCTGTACTTAAAAAAGGGTGGTTTGCTTTGTGAAATAAAATTTTTAAAAGATAAGAATCTAAACTAAATTTTCAGATCCTTATGTAAAGCCTCAATTTTTCAGTTCCATAAAACTGAGGGCTGAGGAATTTCTGAGGGCATGAGACTTTCTGAGGGTGGAAATAAGAACACAAAATAACTCTGATATGTTTACCCTACAGTCTTTTTTAAGAAGACACTACACTTATAAACTCTATTTTCATTGTGCATTTATGGTAACAGATTTGTTGCTTTTTCACTTCTCACACCATTGCAACAGTCATCTTTTTTTAAATCTAGGTCAAACTTTACAATAGTCTGAATTTTTCTATTAACACAGCAATGCATTTGTATAGGAGCACCATATAAATCCAACTAGTCATACGGAATAATACCTAAAGACAACCTTCATGCAAATCAGTAGTTGTGGGGTGATGACCCAGGATGATTACACTAGTCCTAGTCAGGCCAACCAGCATTAGCATCTTAGAATCCAGTTTTTGTATTAAAAAATGCCTGACACTTAGGCCTGTGCATGACATTAGGTTTCTACTATATCACAGAAAGGACTGAAAACGCCCGTCAATCCTGCCTTTGCTCAAACATCTCTCATTTAATAATTCTTTATTATTATTCTGATATCAAACTACAATGTCTTGTATAAAATTTTCCTTCCTAAAAATCCCAAACAACCCATGAGCTAGATGAGGTCATGTTTCCCAAATATATTACTCTGCTAACTCTAAAGCTAAGAGATCCATTTTGGCCCAAAAGACCACTGAAATCAAGGTCACAAATCTTGCTGAGCACTAGGAATTCTGTACAAAGCTTTCTTAGACTGTCTAGGAAAGTGTTCCTTAAATGCTTCTGGCTCATTTACCATCTTTGGAGGAAAAATGTCAAGATGGATGAGGCACCAAGGTGATGTGCCAACCTTATTATAAATGTATCTGTAAAGTGATGAAAGTGGTTGTTAAATGATCCATTTTCAGCCTTAAGAGCCAGTTCAGACAAAGAAGAGCAAAAGAGGTCCCTTACCTTTTAAACCAAAGATCAGGGAGAGAGATGAAACTAATACTTTTCTATTTATATATTAGTGCGTTAGCCTTCCATACTGGATAAAATTCTGTTAATTATACAGAGAACTTGAAGGCAATTGTTTCTAACAGCAAATTCATGAAGAAAGCAGAATTATTTTAAATACACTTAAATCAGAGTGTCTGTAGATGGTTTAAGAAATGCCATACAAAATACATCTCCTTTCAGAGAAAAAACTCTTTTCAAAATATTGTAACTAAAAATCCATCACAAGATTGAATGCATGCTAAGGAAAGAGAAGGTATAAACAGCTAATAGATAAAAAGTGGAAAGAAAGACTGCATGAAGTTCACATAAATAAAACCAACAAAATAACTAAACTCCTGCATCTATGCAACTGAGGAAAATCAAGCCAGGCATTGCTGAATTTCTTTGAGTATTAAGTAGTATGCAATTAGGAAAGAAACAAATAGATGAGGAAATTGCATTTTAATGCCTTTCTGTGTTAATAAAAAATATATATGACAAGCAGAGTAACTATGAAAGACACATGGGATAATGAAAGGCGATGACAGGAAAGAAGCTGCGACGTCCTCATTATTAGCAGTGATTTTGCATATTACCATGAATGTGTGGGAAAGCTATATATTCTTTTTCTTTCAGGAGAGCATTTTGAAAAAGGTGACAGTGATTTTTTTTTTTTAAAGTCAAGTGCAATAGAAAAGGTTGAAAATTCACCCTGAATTTTCTCCCCTAATAAGAGAAGACTTATATATTTTCAGCAGTGGCACATGAGATTTCAGGAGCTCATAGAAGGGAGGTTTTCATAGTGCCTCACTTCAAGCACCAAACTTTAGCACTTACATTAGCATGATTGGCTTCCTAGATTCCCTGTGTAATTAATGAAGATAGATAGACTCCTCCAAAGGGTAATTCAGAGCAAGAGCCCAACCAAGGTGACCCGAATTACTCTCCACGGGAGCATCTCTCTCTGACTACAGAGGGAGTTCAGGCCATTTCCCACTCAACTTCTCTGGATCATTAAGGTGCCTTAAGTGAAAATCCTTGAATATCTCCCCCACCTCACCGTAGATGATCCGACTCTGGACTGGAGGACACAGAGGAGCAACATGCACCTGACTGCAAATACACAAACAGGAGCAAGAGGGAAAGGTTGGGGAAGGCATTGGAACAAAATGTTCTTCAGGGGGCCAAGTGAATTCCCAAACTAAACTCTTTATTCTTTGGGTCTTATCTTCATCTAGGAGGAAACAAACCAGAGAAATTAACTGCAGACTGCCTCCTGTTTTAAGGGGGGAAGGAGAGAGGGACTGTGTTGGAAGTCAGCTTTTCTATAGGGATGCCTGGAATTCCTGGCGATGGGTAGTGTCTAGGGCCCAGACTGTTGCCTGGTTGTTGCAAACCATCTGTGAAAGAGAGGTTCCTACAAAAAATTTGCCCTTGATCCATTAAATAAGATTTATATCTCAGATAAAGGTCTCAGAGACTGTAGAATCTATTTGATTTTGTGCCTGTTTAAAACACTCGTTTCTTACACTTGTAACCAAGGGTGAGGACATTTCATTTGCTAAACAAACTTAGATTAGATGCATCTTCTGAAATTGTTAACAGTTCTTGTAACTATCTTTGCACTGTATTCATCTTAGGGTACCCTTAAATGCAAGGGAAGACATCCTAAAAGGACCTGGGGATTTTCTTCTCTGGGAAGTATTTAGAACTTACTTGCCAAGTGCTGCAATCAGCAGCATTTTCTTTCCTCATATATTGCTATGAAACACAGGTATAAACCAGCTCTGGCAGGGATGATGGAGCATTCTCTAGAGAAGGCATAAAACAGAAAAATCTGCTCAAATCCCACCCACCATTCCCTTTCAGTTCAATTGCAGAAGCTCCCTAGAGCACTGTAGGCCAATTCTATACTGCTACTTCAGCAGCAGTGCCAAGTTCATATCCAGCTTTGCCAGCTAAGCAGCTTGAGACAGTTACATCTGCATTGCCTTAACCTATCTCTGGCTCTCATTAGCTGTGCCCCCTCTGTGCTTCACTTGAGGCAACTTGACCTCTCCAGCTATCCTACAGTCCGTGTCCTCTATCTGTCTGATAGGCTCTCCTAGCAGATATATGTTCTGATCTGACTTGTCTCAGGAGCCTTGTCTGCCTCAGCCTATTAGCATGTATACAAAATATGGTGCTAAGGAGCCTGCTATTTGCAGAAATGTGGAGCAGGTCCATGACAGTCATTTTAAGCACTTGATTGTTTCTGTGCTTTGGATGACACACTGGGAGTTGGAGGTCTCTTGATTCTTTATAGTGGGAACCACTATAGTGTCCCTGAGTGGGAAACATCCTGCTTAAACCAGTGACAAGCCTTTAGGAAATTGCCCCATATGACCAGATTATAGCTGGAGTCTTCTCTTAGAAGCCCAATTCCAGCACTGGCAAGGCAGCAGCTTTGAAAGAAGGAAGCCACTGTCAATGTCAGAGTAACAGAAGGAGGTAATCAGTCATATGTTCTTCCTACACAGTGAGTGTCAAATGTATTGTCATTTGCTCAGTGCACTTGGCCTGAGGGTGGCTGCATCTCTCACAGAGCTTCCTGGAGAAGGGAAGAGTGTGTTGAAGTAATTCAAAGTGATCCTGACCATCTGGCAGCTTTGTGGACCTTCACTAGAAATCTTCTCTCACTAACAGAGTCAGTGAAATCTCCTGATCTCTGTTCTTGATCCATGGAAAAAGTCTGGCTTGTAGGCCTGCAAGGACACAGGTTTTTGAGTACCATCTTCACAACAATATTCCAGCATGAATTTCCTAGCCAGCCCTCCTGCACCATCCTTGGGGCACAAAGTAGATGCTTTCTTCTGGACCTGACTCTCAGGCTCTAACACCCATCTATGTTTCACTCACTCCTAATGACATCCTTTAGGGATTGAGGTCTTCCTTAATGTCTCACTGAATAAAGACTGATGGATCACATCTGGTGTGAGAAAGGTCTGGCTCTAAAGTACGTCTCCTGAGTCTCTAACTGTGGAACACCTGTGTCCTCCCCATCTGATTCTTGACTAAGTCCTGGAATGCTTCTTTCTTATGCTCAAGGTCTTTAATAACTATGGAATCTTTAGTGCCCAACACAGCTGTCCAGCTCCTATAAAGCTAGAGTGGTTCCTGACAGACGAAAGACCTGGCCCCCAAAGGTGGCAGAGGCTGAATTACCTAAGCAGTGGAGTGGGAGATGCAAAGACAGTGGCATTTAGCAAGACTGCAACACTTCAGCAATTTGTTTGGAGGAGAATGAAGCTGATAAGGTAGCAGTCACCTCTGTACTACTGAAAAGGAGAAGATTCAGAAATCTAAAGTACCTACCAAGGGAGGCAGTTGCTTCATGCTAGAGCGAAAGGTAACACAACACATGACTTCATATCTAAGATAATGTCATTACATAGCTACGCCAATAAGTTTCTTTCCTGGCTGCCACTCCACTTCAAACTTTGCTTTAAATGTCGGAGTAAAACACTCTTGCATTGTGACTGTCTATTGACTAAGGTGATCATTCTTTTGGATGTCACGTCTTTAGCTTACATATTAAAATGTAAAGGCTTTTAAAACATATCTATCCTTCTTAGCAGAGAACTGCCTACCTTTTATTTCTTCTTCCCTATTGTTTTTCTCTGTATTTTGCTCACTGCAGATGAGACAGAATAATTATATGTAATTATGGTAGGCTAGCTTTTGCAAACTGCCAAATTGCACACCCAGCTGCTCACTCACTCCTCCTTCTCAGGGGGGCAGGAGGAGAAAAAAGGATAAGAAAGCTCATGGGTCAGATAAAGATAGGAATATCACTTACCAATTACCTTCATGGGCAAAACAGACTCATTAATTAATTCATTTGTTACCAATTTCCATTTTGTCTATTGTGGAGCCAGATGTAACTGGCTGTGTTTGCCACAGGGCAGCCCATAACCTTCTCCCACAGAGGTCATCCTTGCAGTCCCTCTGGTATCAAAACCTTGCCACATAAAACCAATTAAACAATACTAAAATAATAATTAACACTGCAACTTGCACATTAAGGTGAATGCAATCAGGTCTGATATACCTACCTAGGGTTTTAATTTGGTCCCTGTGCTATCTTTTGGTTTGAATCACATACTGGTCTCAAAGAACATGAACTGGATTCTTTTGGGATGAGACTCAACTGGAATGCTTGAATCGAACAAGAAACTTTAGCAGCAAAACAAATACACTTCAGATGTGAGAGGGAATTCAGTCTATGCAAACAGTCCAGGGCTGGTCTGAAGAAAAAACATCCTAAAATATATATAGTCCAGGAATCAGATCCCCAGCTCCGACTCTCTTGCCATCCACATCTGCTCTTACTAGCCTACAGTAGTTGGCAATGTAAGTATAGTTAATTTTGTGTGCTAAATGTAATATTTTTTAAAAAAATTATTTCTAACTACTTCTTTTTGGTGTCAGCTTTTCCATTATCACAGTATTTTCAGGCAGTTTTTTCCCTCTCTCACCTATATAAACAGAACAGCCTCCAAATTTACTCGAGTCACACTGCAGGAAATTTAAAGGGGACGCTTCTCCTTTGTGTATTACACATGTCATTGTCACACTTGTGTCCACCGGATATACGCATTGCGGGTCAGGAAATGGAGGTACTAGGGAATCCGTAATACAACTTAAATGACCTTTCCTAGTCAACGCTGTAGAAGAGAGGCAGACAATGATAAGGAAGGAAATCTCCCTCTGCACTAGAAATGCACTAAAAATCCCTATACACCTTTCCCCAAAACTATAGCATAGTGTAACATTTAGGGAGTGATGCATCAATGTTCTCATTATGTTCCACATGTCTGTACAAGAGACATCCACAGTCCATTTAAGAGACTAAATTAATATGTTCAGTAAATGAGTGTTTATAACACAGTAGCACCTGGAGGTCTCAATTAATCATCTCTATTGTGTTATTCACTGTATGAATTCACTGTAAAACACAGTTCTTATCCTAAATACCTTAATATCTTTTCTTGTGTCTTAATTTCTCTTCCATGCAAGCTGGAAGGCATAGAAGTAAGGCAAAAATAAATTCTGAAAATCTGAAAATTAAGTTCTGAAAATCTAAACCCCTTCTCAAATCAAAAAGGAAAAAAAAAAAAAGGAAAAACTATCAATTTTGTCAGAAGCATTTTTGTGCTACTTCCTGGTACTAATACTAATACTATAGTCATTCACAATGAGAGAAATGGTATGAATACTTTGTAGGCAGAGATTTCCTGAGGCTTTTCAGAGGCTTTTTCATTTGATATACTCTCTAGCTTTCCCGATAAGAACAAATTTACATTGCAGAAGCATTTTAATGAATTTCAAAGATACAGCATCACTGGAAGAGACTGTTTAGCAACGTTAAAAAGGGATGGGAACTAAATGTGAGATACGGAAAGGATCTTAATTCTTTGTTCTGTATAGTGACAGGTTTTGTTCAAGGGATACCTAGAAACTCCTGAAAGCACTGCTGCTACTCCTGTCAGTGAAGCAACCAAACCAACTGAAACCAAACCGAGTTGCCTACAGGGAAAAAAAAGTGAAGTAGATAGATGAATGCATAATGAATATATGGCAAGGACTACGTGACTATCTGAAAATGAAGAAAGAAGAAACATTCACAGCTGAAGATTAGAGAAATGTAGACAAAACAAATTCAAATCATTGCTGTCTGTAAAGTTAGCCTTGAATTAAACCTTTTATTGTATCAACTTATCTTTCACATTTAAACTCATTTATAAAACTTGGTATATTCTGACACTTTCCCCACACTAATCCAGCAAGCTGCTCTTCCTGTAGCCCTTGTTGAAAGCTTACCTCTAGAGAGGCCAGAAGCCTTTCAGAAGCAGTTTAACGGAAAGATGGGTCACTTTCAGCACGGCTGACGGTGTCTGCTGATGTCACCAGGAAATCTCAGGAGCGCTGAGCAATTCTTCAGTTCTCAGTGCATGGGATTTTCTCTGGACGGTGCTTACCAGGCTGGAGACAGAAAAAGGATTCAACCTTTTGTTGGGAAGTGATGCAAGAAAGGTTTTACACATTTAAAAGACCTTAATATTAATAAAAAGGAAAAGAATGGGAAAACAATTCCATTTTCAAAGAAGCCTCTTAAAGACTTCACTCTTTCCATGAGAAATTTGACTCCAAGGTTAAATAAAATTCTAATTTTGAAAGATCTTTAATGTCTTACCAAGACAGGCATGTTTTCTTGGCCTATGCTTTTAAACAATATAGCCCTTAGTGGTTCTTATTAGTCTCCAGCTCTGAAGTATCCCAATTAGACCTAACACTTGGGCAAAAATGAAAAAGAATACTGCTTTCTTTGCAGACAACCTCTTTTTAAGTGGATAATTAAGATTTTTTTTTGTTTTTTTTTTTTTGGTTGTTTGTTTTTGGTTTTGTTTGTTTGTTTTTTTATTTTTAACAAAAGGCTACAACACACCTCTGTCTGCTCCTTTTCTTTTACAGCAAATATTTTGCCTTTTCTTTATGGCTTTATTAATATAATAAGCAAATAAATTATACGGACACAGCTAGCTTGGGGGTTCAGGGCCAAATCCTTTTTATTCAAATGAGACAACAGCTTATATATGGGTTAACAGGTCACACCATGTGACCTTAACAACCAATCACCATGGGTACTTCACTGCTCAGGTGTGGGAGTACTTTGGGCCTTCATTTCCCAGGATGCTTCATCGAGCATCCTTCCTAAAACCCAACTGCTACATTTCTTAAGTCAAAACAAAAAAAACCAAGGCGAGCTGTACTACAACCTCAAAGACAAGGCCTATAATTTCCCACAAATATGGATGATTTAGATCTAGATCGTACATTCAAAGCAGCTGGAGAGATCCTGTGACCTTAAGTGCAGAAATGGAGGCCCAGGCCAGTAACTCTTTCTTATACAGAAAAAAATAAATAAAAATTTGCTGAAAATCAGTAGAGAAGATTGGTTATTATGTAGGATATTTATAGGAGATATGAATATGAGAATCTGAGAAGAGCCACTAGCACTATCTACACATGAATTACTCCACAAGGAAACTCAATATAATACAGTTGATTTCAGCCAAATTATGCTAGGTCATGATAGCTGCAGAGTCAGCCCTGCAGGTTGACTACCTGCCTACCAACCTACCAACTGACAGCTTTATCAGAAATAGAATAATGCTTTTAGAGAAATACAATAATCATTAAAAGATTATTAATTTCCTTTTCTCCTCTAGTGAAGGAAATGCAAGGCCTGGGAGCTTTCTAAAGCAGAGATATTTCAGGATGGGCAGCAGAGCCAGTGTAATGGAAAACAGTGAGGTGACAGTGGTGGCATCATGGCATTCACAATTTTCCTTAGCTTACAGTAACAAACCAGTTGTCATTCAGTGTGTAAAGGTTTGGGCAGACTGCTCAGAACTGTGTCTTTATATTATCTACTGCATTTGTCAGCAAGGTGTCCAAGATATTCTCAGTTTTGGGAGTAAGTGGGAACATAATGATGGGCAAATGGGACTAGGACAGCACGGATACGGTATATTAGAGCTTTATTTTGATATATAATTATTTGTCTTCTATCTTCGACATATTACTAGAAACAAGCAAGACAGCAATATGTATCACAGTATCATAGCAGCACAGGAATAGTCTACTACAGGTTGCAGATGGATGATTGAGGAAAGAGATGAGAACAAATGTGCATCACTCACACAACTGACAGAGCAGAAATGCAGACCTTAGCCTAAACTTGAAGGCAAGACCAAGTAGGTCAGTCAGTACGGTGTAATCTGAGCATATGCTGATATTCTCTGGATTTGTCAGAGGTGGAAGATGTCTTTTGACTAGATCAATCAAATAGCACTAGGGCAACAAGAAAGGATTCAGATGGGGGGGAAAAAAGGCAAAATTGAGTTATGTTTTATTACTTATGCACTGTTTTTTTGGTTTACATGTTTTCTCCTGCATCTCAGTATTTCTTTATGTTTTTCCTTTGTGTACCATAGCAGATAGCCCATGCACTCAAAATGCTTAGATTTTCTTATCTTTGTTATTTATTTTGTCTATTAAAGTGAAAAGGAGGCAGTAAAATATCACTGATGCACACAATTTTTCAATGATAAAAAAGATAGATTAGAAAATTGGCAAAATCACAGCTTCAGATAAGAAAAAAAAACCAAACCGAAACCATTCAGAAATACAAAATCTCTGAGGCTAAAGGAATTTACTTTAAGGTTACAGCTATACAGATTTTCTAAGACACCATTTTCATTTTGAAATCAAGTAATCAGTGGTTCCTGGGCACCACTACTGCTACTCCTACGTAGTTGTGATATCCCCTTACTAAAAAATCCTTCTTCATCCCTTATAAGTCATTCGTGCATCCTCAAAAAGGGATGAGAATGCATTCTATGACATTGCTATATGGCATTTAGAACTCTTATTGGTGAAATGTATGAACTATGATGTTTGTAGTTATGACAAAGAATAGAAACTGTATGACTGAAAGGGAAAGTGAACTAAAGGCTACTAAAAACTTATTGCAAATAAGTTGCAGTCTATTCTATTCTATCTTGTTTTGAAAACATGACCAGGAAGCAGAATATAGCATAACGGAAGCATTGAAGCCATCTGGTCATTCAAGCCTGGACAGTGTTTTCCCAGAGGAAAAGAAATGTGAATATTTTGCACACGCTTTTGGGATGTGCCTATCATTATCTAGATTTGTCCAATCTAACACCCAGGACATGATAAACATGTATATGGTCTTCAACCCAATTTCCCAGAAAACCAAACCAAACCAAGCCAAACTAAGATGAGCAAACAATGCTGCAAAAAACAACAGCAGCAAGCGAGACAGATTTTTGGTAAAATAATCGAAACATCAAAAATTAAAATAGATCAAATTGACATTCTGGTGGTTTTAAAGAATTTATTTCATACTTCAGTTTACACTCAATGTGTTATAGTGAGAGACGATAGGTTAGCTTTGGAAATATTTAAGCATCTGAATGTCTGTACCTGAATAACTACAAAGAGAGGAATTATCAGGAGAGCATGAACTTGAAAGTGCTGCGCAGATGACTAGACAGGCCTATCATGCAGCTGACAATTTAATTGCTACTAGTTAATCAGATTGTGGACTTTAACATAGCCACTTGTCACTTTTTCAAAGTGGTAAGGGTCAATGAGTACGCAAAATTAATGTCTCCTGAAACTTGTGCCATCATCAGTGGCAACTAAAGAACATGTCAATAACTGCCTATCAGAATAGAAGTTTCCTGTACATGCCTCATATAGATGCAGCTGACAATTCAATGAAGTAGAAGCAGATGCAAAATACTGGATTTTACCAAATGTATAGTGAAAGTCAGAAAAATTGATAAAGAATCCATTATCATGATTATTTTAACTAATACAAATATTGTTCACTACATTACAATGTTTTAGAGTACCCCATGAATTGCTTGCATATTGGTACAAACAAGTAGTTATATACCAGATAATTCTCCTGTTACTTGATGTGGCACTTGGAGTTAAGAACATGCTACCAGATCACATGGGATAAAAACATACAGGTGTGGTTTTGAAAGCTTTGGTTGCAGAACTCAAAATGGGCTATACAGACACTTTTTCTCCATTAGAAGACTTGGTGAAGCCCAGAGTTGTTAGAAGCTTGGAAAACAGTTTTGTTTTGCTTTTTGTAGTTGTGAAGGCAGCAATCTCAATCCAATTCGGCTGGTGAAATTATTATAAAAACCCAACAACAACAAACTAAAAGACTTGGCTCTGCAAAGAAAATCATCCACTTTGTTAAAACTGAATTTCAAAATGTTCTGAATCTATTGCTTCTCTATTTCTCTTACAGAGGGATGAATGAAACACACAAGTACTGATGATTGGCTGGACTTGTTTGCAACAGCTGCAGGAGGAGTTGCCAATTCTGGTTTCATATAAGATAGCCTAAGTGCCTGATAAGCATTAAAATTCATTTCCATTCTTTAGCACACAGAAAAGTACACTATTGCCATAGAAAATATGACTAAATCCTTAAATGCTATATGCTTTTCTTGGTCAACTAGTTTCATGCTGTAGCAAGAGCTTAATGGACAAATGTCACCTCCTTTGTGGCTCATTTGACCTTGCTGTCAGATATTTTCCATGAACAATTGTTAACTTTTTTTCATGAAATGCTGCTAGAATCCTTCAAAAGCTTGGTGATAAATGCATCTAAATGTGTATCATAGTGGAATAGTATCTTCCTTTGAAACTAATCTTCCATAGAAATCCCTCTCAGAGCCAAAACTGGAAAAAAAAATAAAAAAGAAACCCCACCTCAAACTAAATGCTCAGCTAAGAAGAAAGATTGTGTCACAGCTGTTATTTACCTGTTTTATTCACAATTGCTTTTCTTCCCTCAGCCACCTGCTCTTTCTTTAGCATAGGAACATCTACTATTGAAAGATGGCCATTTCTGTCTTTGAAACCAAGGGCCAAACAGCAGCACTTAACCCTTTGGCAGGAAGCCCATGAGCTACAGTCTATTAAGATATATAAGCTAGACCCATTTTTCTTTGTTCTTGCTCTATAAAAAGAAAGAAATTGCAGGCTGTGTAACACCTTGCGTGACACAGCCTTCTCCCACCTATGTGTCAATACATTCCACTGCTCTTTTCCCACATGCTTCAGAATACATTGTATTCTGGGGTCATTCAGAGCAAGCAAACTTGTCAGATGGGAAAGTTGTCTGAAAACCTTTCATGTCCTGTTCTGATTGATTTACTGCATTTTTCGTTGTAGTAGCTGAATGGTCCTCAGTACTGTATGAAGAGAGGCGTTGAACTCTTTTTTCCACTCCTATGATATCAGAGCAGATAAAATCAAGGAAATGTGCCTTGCACTTAGGACAGAAGCTGCAAATGTCGTTATTTCTTACAGAAGGCCTTTTCAGTCTCCTACAAAGGAAAAATCCCTACTCTAGAAAACT